AGTTTGGGGATCTTGCGTTCAAGTCTTTTATAATTATAGACGATTTTGTTATGTTCAGGAACACGTTTAGGTCATCGTCGATTACTGGATCTCGAGGCCTTACGTATGCGGAGGATCTAATGCTCTTGCCTCATTTTCACTCAATTGTTGTTACTTCCATAGTGTTAAGTTGTGGTGTTAGCATTCTAGTTGAATATTGCCTTTTATCACCAGGATAGCTGTGCCTCCCGACCTTGCTGTGTTATCGTTTTTGCAGACGTTGTAGCCAGGAAACTTAAAGTTTACGTTGTTTGTCAGTTTTAATTTTTGTATTGTTACATTTATTTTGTACCTGTTTATTAATTTGTGTAAGATATTCTGATTGGTTCTAATGCCATCTGGATTCTAGGAGCCTATCTATTGAACAAAACATACACTTTGCCATATGAAATGTTACCTGTAATAACATTTATAGAAGGTAGATGGAGGGCCGGTGCTGAATGTTTTTTAAATTCCAAGAATCATAATAAAATAATTTTGCTTAGGGTACTCCTAAGAGAGATTGTGTTTACGATCAAACGCATAAAATTGCAATATCTGGGACACGTTATGAGAAATCAGCACCGTTACTTCCTGCTGCAGTCTATATTGCAAGGTAAAGTCAAAGGTAAGCGAAGACCCGGTAGAAAGAGAATATCATGGCTGCGGAATTTAAGAACATGGTTTAATAAAACCTCAACAGAGCTGTTTAGAGCCGCAGCGAGCAAGGTTATGATTGCCAATATGATTTCCAACATCCGAAACGGATAGGAACCAGAAGAAGAAGAAGGGTACTCCATTACTTCGGGTAGAATTTAAAGGTTAAACAAACTGAATACATATGACATATTAGAAATATTAAATTAAAAATGACTAAAAGACAGGATAAAAAAATATAATAAAAAAACATGATGAAAAATATCTGAAAAAAGGAATAAAAGAGAGTGTGTCACACTAACAAGCATGAATGATAGGGTTCTGACAACATTCAAACAAATAAACGACAAGTAAAAAACATCTACAAAATCTATTCTCAAATAACAAACGTAAAATAGTTTCGAAACACAATTCAGATTTCTGCTTTTATCTGTGCTTTCTAAAAATTGCAAAGCAAAACAGACGTTGATAAAGGTGTTAAAAGAGACGTGGGGAATCTAAAATTTGCATTCCACGACACATCTTTTCAACTAAGCAGAAATCCTTAGCGAATTGGTTTCTTGTACTCGTACAGAGTAAATCCGAAAAAAGTGAAAAAGACAGCAAATATTTGATTTCACGCAAACAGCGCCTTTGTATCTGTTGATACGTATTTCGACCTAATAGGTCTCATCAGAACAGTTATTCAAAGGTGTTCTCAACGTGAAAGATCAATATTTTCTGTCTTTTTAAGAAGCAACAATAACATGGCTTCGAATACGGAAGCACTAGCGACATCTAATTTAACAAACGTAAAATAGTTTCGAAACACAATTCAGATTTCTGCTTTTATCTGTGCTTTCTAAAAATTGCAAAGCAAAACAGACGTTGATAAAGGTGTTAAAAGAGACGTGGGGAATCTAAAATTTGCATTCCACGACACATCTTTTCAACTAAGCAGAAATCCTTAGCGAATTGGTTTCTTGTACTCGTACAGAGTAAATCCGAAAAAAGTGAAAAAGACAGCAAATATTTGATTTCACGCAAACAGCGCCTTTGTATCTGTTGATACGTATTTCGACCTAATAGGTCTCATCAGAACAGTTATTCAAAGGTGTTCTCAACGTGAAAGATCAATATTTTCTGTCTTTTTAAGAAGCAACAATAACATGGCTTCGAATACGGACGCACTAGCGACATCTAATTTAACAAACGTAAAATAGTTTCGAAACACAATTCAGATTTCTGCTTTTATCTGTGCTTTCTAAAAATTGCAAAGCAAAACAGACGTTGATAAAGGTGTTAAAAGAGACGTGGGGAATCTAAAATTTGCATTCCACGACACATCTTTTCAACTAAGCAGAAATCCTTAGCGAATTGGTTTCTTGTACTCGTACAGAGTAAATCCGAAAAAAGTGAAAAAGACAGCAAATATTTGATTTCACGCAAACAGCGCCTTTGTATCTGTTGATACGTATTTCGACCTAATAGGTCTCATCAGAACAGTTATTCAAAGGTGTTCTCAACGTGAAAGATCAATATTTTCTGTCTTTTTAAGAAGCAACAATAACATGGCTTCGAATACGGAAGCACTAGCGACATCTAATTTAACAAACGTAAAATAGTTTCGAAACACAATTCAGATTTCTGCTTTTATCTGTGCTTTCTAAAAATTGCAAAGCAAAACAGACGTTGATAAAGGTGTTAAAAGAGACGTGGGGAATCTAAAATTTGCATTCCACGACACATCTTTTCAACTAAGCAGAAATCCTTAGCGAATTGGTTTCTTGTACTCGTACAGAGTAAATCCGAAAAAAGTGAAAAAGACAGCAAATATTTGATTTCACGCAAACAGCGCCTTTGTATCTGTTGATACGTATTTCGACCTAATAGGTCTCATCAGAACAGTTATTCAAAGGTGTTCTCAACGTGAAAGATCAATATTTTCTGTCTTTTTAAGAAGCAACAATAACATGGCTTCGAATACGGACGCACTAGCGACATCTAATTTAACAAACGTAAAATAGTTTCGAAACACAATTCAGATTTCTGCTTTTATCTGTGCTTTCTAAAAATTGCAAAGCAAAACAGACGTTGATAAAGGTGTTAAAAGAGACGTGGGGAATCTAAAATTTGCATTCCACGACACATCTTTTCAACTAAGCAGAAATCCTTAGCGAATTGGTTTCTTGTACTCGTACAGAGTAAATCCGAAAAAAGTGAAAAAGACAGCAAATATTTGATTTCACGCAAACAGCGCCTTTGTATCTGTTGATACGTATTTCGACCTAATAGGTCTCATCAGAACAGTTATTCAAAGGTGTTCTCAACGTGAAAGATCAATATTTTCTGTCTTTTTAAGAAGCAACAATAACATGGCTTCGAATTTGCAATTTTTAGAAAGCACAGATAAAAGCAGAAATCTGAATTGTGTTTCGAAACTATTTTACGTTTGTTAAATTAGATGTCGCTAGTGCGTCCGTATTCGAAGCCATGTTATTGTTGCTTCTTAAAAAGACAGAAAATATTGATCTTTCACGTTGAGAAACACCTTTGAATAACTGTTCTGATGAGACCTATTAGGTCGAAATACGTATCAACAGATACAAAGGCGCTGTTTGCGTGAAATCAAATATTTGCTGTCTTTTTCACTTTTTTCGGATTTACTCTGTACGAGTACAAGAAACCAATTCGCTAAGGATTTCTGCTTAGTTGAAAAGATGTGTCGTGGAATGCAAATTTTAGATTCCCCACGTCTCTTTTAACACCTTTATCAACGTCTGTTTTGCTTTGCAATTTTTAGAAAGCACAGATAAAAGCAGAAATCTGAATTGTGTTTCGAAACTATTTTACGTTTGTTAAATTAGATGTCGCTAGTGCTTCCGTATTCGAAGCCATGTTATTGTTGCTTCTTAAAAAGACAGAAAATATTGATCTTTCACGTTGAGAACACCTTTGAATAACTGTTCTGATGAGACCTATTAGGTCGAAATACGTATCAACAGATACAAAGGCGCTGTTTGCGTGAAATCAAATATTTGCTGTCTTTTTCACTTTTTTCGGATTTACTCTGTACGAGTACAAGAAACCAATTCGCTAAGGATTTCTGCTTAGTTGAAAAGATGTGTCGTGGAATGCAAATTTTAGATTCCCCACGTCTCTTTTAACACCTTTATCAACGTCTGTTTTGCTTTGCAATTTTTAGAAAGCACAGATAAAAGCAGAAATCTGAATTGTGTTTCGAAACTATTTTACGTTTGTTAAATTAGATGTCGCTAGTGCGTCCGTATTCGAAGCCATGTTATTGTTGCTTCTTAAAAAGACAGAAAATATTGATCTTTCACGTTGAGAACACCTTTGAATAACTGTTCTGATGAGACCTATTAGGTCGAAATACATATCAACAGATATAAAGGCGCTGTTTGCGTGAAATCAAATATTTGCTGTCTTTTTCACTTTTTTCGGATTTACTCTGTACGAGTACAAGAAACCAATTCGCTAAGGATTTCTGCTTAGTTGAAAAGATGTGTCGTGGAATGCAAATTTTAGATTCCCCACGTCTCTTTTAACACCTTTATCAACGTCTGTTTTGCTTTGCAATTTTTAGAAAGCACAGATAAAAGCAGAAATCTGAATTGTGTTTCGAAACTATTTTAAGACGTATAAACATTGAAAATAATTTACCCAATCCAACATCAGAATAAAATAGACATTAAAAACTATAAAAACTTGACAAGATCTGGTCCCGACTACATTCATCGTGAAATTATAAAGCTCTTAGCAGAAGACAACTTAGATCTTAGCAAAGATCTTTAATAAAATATATAGAAAACTAGCAACTGAAAAGATTGGTTAAAATCTAATTTTGTATCATCCTAAATCCAAGAAACCAAAAATATAACTAATTTTTACTGATATGTCTCACGTCCAATATTTTAAATTTTGAATTTACACAGAATTTACAAGAAGTGCGAAAAGGATACGGGCCCAGCTGAATTTGGTTTCATAAACGGTATGGGAACCCGAGAGGCCTTGTTTAGTTTTATTGTCATCATGCAAATATGTCGCGATCAACAAAAGATGCATATTATTTGTGTTTTACGGATTATGAAAAGGCCTTTGATAAAGTCCAGCCCGATAAACTAATAGCATATTTAGAAAAAAAATTAACGATTGCAATGATGTAAACAAATTAAGTAAACTCCATTGAAATAAAAATGCATTCAAACAATAAAACACTGAAAATTTTCTTTTCAAAACTTCCACAAAGTTTATTTTCTTATTCGTTAGTTTGTCCGTAAACTATTAATTTTCATTGTGTCAATTATAATTTAATATATTTTTAGGGAGCAAGCAGCAATGACCTAATTGCAATTCTGGATGGCATACAGGTAAGTTATTTACTAAGCTACGGATTTATTTAATTGAGTAATCAGACATACATATTCACATTTGATAAATTTAATTCAAATACTAATACCTGAAATCAATAATGTCAATCTGAAAATTATACAAAAGATTAAAGATTAAAGTTTTGAAAACAACTACGTTTTTCTAACTGGAGGACAGTTAATCTCCAGATCTAGTGGGTCTGAACAGAAATTTAAAATAGTAAGATTTTCATGTAATTATTTTTTAATTTTACGCTTATTATATTATACAGTGAACAGCTAAATTATGGAATATTATCATTATTTCGATAACCGTCGAGTTTTGAGGGAAATCCCGAAACAGGTCAATTTGTGTTATGAAATACCCATGTTATAAAGTACATGGAGTAGGGATGATATAACCTTTGCAGGTGTAGTGACGTAATCGTTAATTTTTTTAAATAGAAATCGGTATGGGCGGATGTAATTTCGACCGGAAAAAGGGCAGGTACTAAAAGCCGGTAGGTAAATTCGGCCGGAGGTTTTAAGTTGCTTCCTTATCTCATAGGTATTTTCGGCCGCAAATCAAATAAAATAACAAAATGCTTTATATTAAAATATTTCTTTATTTCAATAAAATTATTATATCAACTTATTTCTGTAACTTAAGTAAACTATAAATTTTTAAAAAACGTGTTGATGTGATACAGATTTATCGAAATTAATTCTAGAAATATTGTCAGATCGAAGCATATTTACCATGTTTTCGATAAATTTTAGTTTGTGTTTTACTTGTTTGTCTTTAATTTTTGCTGGAATATTTAAATTTTTTATTTTTAAATATGCATCGATCTGACATTTTTTTAATTTTTCTTTAAAAATAAATATAGAAGGGTGACTTGAATAAAAACTAGAATTAAAGTGCGAATGGAATGATTTGCAGGCATTTGTGGTTCTTTTAATTGATGGGTTTTCATATGCCCATATATTTGGTGGAAAATGAGATTCTGGCGCTATGTAGTTTTTTAATAAATAGTCTGCATATTTATCTATAAGTTTATGGTCCGGTTTGTATGACATGAGAGCAAATATGAAACAATCTTCAACTTCAGAGGGGTCTAAACAAGTTAGCCCAAAAGTATGAGTAAGCCATTTGCTTTCCTCGCAGTTTTTATCTTTATACATTTGGGTTAACCCTAATGATTGTATTTTCCTATACCACGCCTGGTGCAAGTGGAATCTACAACCATTTAGTTTGGTTTTGGGAAAGACAACTTTAATGCGTTATGAATTGCGATTTCAAAATCCACAAATACCTCCTTCGGTTCAAAAAACAATATTATAAAGTTCAAAAATTTTAGATTTTACCAACAGAAAAAGTCTCATATATGTGTCACTGGTCTTATTGGGCAACAGACAATACAAAAGAGGAACATAATGCCCATTTTCCAGTTCATGGATGGTAAATAACTGATAAAAATATTTTGTACAAAAAGAAAATGTGCCATCCATGTAAAAATCTTTCATTTTACATAAACTTATTATATTTGTATGGCAAGAAAAAACAATGATATTATCAGCTGTGCTGTCAATAAACAAAAAATTTTCACCTGTTGTGGTTTTCGGTCCATAACTATCGAGTACAGAATGTACATCGTGAATATCCTTAGGCAGGGCTGGTAAGAGCTTACGGCGGCTGTTGTACAAATTTCTTCTTATTAGACTGACATCTATCGATGACAAATTCTCTGGCAAATGATTTGAAAGAACGCTTTTAATAATTTTTGAAGGTTTCTCCGATATGTCTTCCTCAGCTTTGCGCTTGCATGAAGTCGTCCCTATTTTTCTCTCCAACGTAGTTTCATCGGACTCGTGGTTGTGGATTAATTCACTTCTAGTAACTGTGTATTCCGCACCAACAGTGTACAGTTTGGCTAAACATCTTAAATTTTTCTTTATACACCTCCAACGTACTTCACCACTTTTTAATACGTCCTGTTTACAAAACTGAAACTTTTCTACAACTAGTATGTCACAACCGCGTGAACTCTTAATTACTGAAACAGATGCCATCGTATACAAATAATATATTTAATGCTTTCTATCAACTAGTAGCTTCAAGATAAGTTTTAATACTGACTAGCTATAATAATTTTATATCTGTTATTTGTGAATTTTACAGCGGCGTAATTTCCGACAGGTACACAGGATTAGGTATTATTTCCAAATAAATACACAATTAATATTTTACAGAAACTATTAAGCGTAATTACCAATATTTTAATCTCATCGTAAACATCAAGCCTTCGGCCGAAATTACCCCTGTCATAAATGGTACCCCTTGATTTATGCAGGTAGGCCAAGGAATTACCGGCCGAAATTACGCCCGCCGATCGGTATAATGTGACAACTCATTTAAACGAGAATTTAATTCTCCATTATCTAAAATATTTTTTAAGGGTACAAGAACAATTGTTTTAAATTTAAATTCAACTAAATTACAACTCGAAAGAAAATGCAAAAAATGCAAAAAAGTATTTTTGAAGTGTGTATATTTTAGGCAATTCCTAGCTGAGCGCTTTCGGCTTTACAAAGCCATCATCAGAGCTATGCTACAATAAAATGTTCTAATAAGTACTAATTGGTAAAGATTGTAATTTTTAACTTACGTCAATTTTTTAAATACCACTACAAAGGAGAGATCTCATTTCCTTAAATTTCAAAATTATGATTTTGTAGGTGTTGAAATTCTTATAACATATAAAACATATAAAAAACCGACACTGGACTTCACAAACACGTTAAAAAATTGAAAAAATTTTTGTCATGGTACGGGTTTTAGAACCCGACCATTGATTGATGTGTAAACCCGTACCATGACAAAAATTTTTTCAATTTTTTAACGTGTTTGTGAAGTCCAGTGTCGGTTTTTTATATGTTTTATATGTTATAAGAATTTCAACACCTACAAAATCATAATTTTAAAATTTAAGGAAATGAGATCTCTCCTTTGTAGTGGTATTTAAAAAATTGACGTAAGTTAAAAATTACAATCTTTATCAATTAGTACTTATTAGAACATTTTATTGTAGCATAGCTCTGATGATGGCTTTGTAAAGCCGAAAGCGCTCAGCTATGAATTGCCTAAAATATACACACTTCAAAAATACTTTTTTGCATTTTTTGCATTTTCTTTCGACTTGTCATAAGTGTGTACAAAAAAATATCAGTCTTTTGATTTTTAAATTACAACTATTGACTTTAAATAAATTTAAAGTAACCAAATTATGCATAATAAATATTTTAAATTAAATGTTCGAAATGCCATTCATCGGTTTTCTGACAATATGCGAATCTACGGACACATTCATCAAGTACATTTCGGATGACTTCTGGAGTAATTAGACGCAAATTAGAATTTCATGACTAATTCTATCTTTCAAGTCCTGTAAGTTTTGGGGTCTATTGACATAAACTTTTGATTTTATGTAATAAACCAGATATTTTCACTACGTAAATTTGGATTATTGGCATTTGGATACATGTTAGCAAGGACAGGTATAAGTTGATTTCTCAAAAAAGTTAAATAAAATTCTCCTGTTAGATTTCCTTCAACGAAAAAAGGGTCAATGATTCTGTCATTAATGATCCCTTCCCACACATTTACTTTCTGAGGATATTGCGTGTGTAATCAGTCATCCAATGTGGGTTGTCTTGACTCCAATATCTGCAATTTTTACGATTCACGGTACCATGTATAAAAAATGTGGCTTTATCGGAAAAAAAGATTTGAATAATAAAATGTGGATTGCGGATACATACATTTTGCATAATTTCAGAAAATTGAAGTTTAACTTCTGATGTAGTTGAAATTGGTAGGGATGGTATTTCTCTTTTTTTTTTTTAAATACGTAATACCAATCGTTGGGAAATTTCAGTACATTCACTGATTTGTGTTGAACTACTGTGAGGATTGTCATGTATATTTAATAAAATATCAAGTTTCATATTGTCTTCAATTTTAGGACGCTTAGCGTTTAGAATATGTTTAACGTGCCCAGTTTCCCCAAATTTTCGGATTATTTTACTTACTAACTGTTGATTGGCTGATGAGTCTGTCTGGATATTTTGCGTTGAATAAATTGCATACCTCGATCTGTGTTCTTTTTGTTTTTATTTACGAATCCGCTAAAGAAATCCGTTAAAAGAATTAATATTTCTAATATGCGTTGTGTTCCATTTAGGTGAGCCATAATTTAGTATTCAAAAGTAAAAATTACAATTGACAACTGAAGCTAATTTACAAAATCAAAACATTAACGTCAATAAATATTTCAGTAGCTATGCCACTATCACTTGCTTGAATTAACATTTGACAAAAACAAAAACGTGTTTATGAGATACTTTTTGTGTCCATTATTATTTTTACTTATTTTTGTTTTTTGAAGTATTTACTTCAGAAAGTCATGGCAGGAACCAATGGATGGCATTTCGAACATTTGATTTAAAATCATTGTTATGCATATTTTGGTTACTTTAAAGTACGTACTGAATTCAATCATTAGTTGTACTTTAGTTGAATTTAAATTTTAAAAAAATGTTTTGTAGTCTTAACCCTCCGTTACTCGCGCCTATTTCAGGAACATGTCAACTCGCGGGGTGTCTGCAGCACCCCATTATTTTATCTTACTTTTGGTTTAAAGTAATAAAATCCAAACTTTTTTTATATTGCAGGTATATAATGTTAAAAGTTTGTAACAAAATAAAACTATTTATTTCAGTTAAATATTGCAGTCTACATGTGTAGTCGCTGAATTTTATAAACATAGATTTTAGGAATATAATTGCACACAACTGAACAAAAATAAAAAATAAATAAATAAAGTAAAAAAGGTGAAAGCAAAATTTTTTTATTATATATAAAGAACAATAAACAAACTTAGAATAAATTTACTGGCCTCGGTGGCATGCATCACATATTGTGTTCATATGGCTAAGGCACATATTTTTATTGCAATTTTTGCAACCACTCTTACATTTAATGTCTTTTGCTCGTGGGCATATAGTGCATCTTGCCTTTTTACAGGAACATTATCATTGTTTGTTACTGCATTACCTAAGACTTTTTTCAAAGAGTTTGGAATAGATTGTATTTGTGACCTAGCTTCCATCTGTGGTTGTACCAGAGTAAATCCAATCTCTTCTAGAAACTTTGATCTGGGAATTTTTTTAGTAAGAATATTAGAGAAATAAACAATGTGGGAATTAATTGCAGCTGTATTTAATCAATGATAAAATATCCTCAAGGGCCAATGACGACAAGTTCTTGACACATTATATGTCTGGCATTTCTGGTCTACACTATCAACCCCACTCGTGGTTTTATTATAAAATAATATTATGTATGGATGGTCCTTGGAAAGGACCATCTGGCTGCTTTCCAATATAAGGTTCAAATTGTAAAGTATAAACTGTCTTGGAATCACATATAGCGAAAAATTTAAGACCATATCGTGCCAGCTTGTTTGGTAGATACTGTCGAAAAGAGCATCTACCCCAAAAATTTAAAAGTTGTTCATCAATGGTGGCGAATTTGCTAAGCCAATAATTTACGAGGCAACTATTATTGAACTGATTATAAATACTTCTAATCAGAGCAAACTTTTTCAGCAATATTCTTTCTTCGCGGGTATTTATATTGTCAAACCAGACATTTTATGAGAAAGTAAAAACAGTTGTAACTCATAGTATTGTAAAACGTTTAAATTCCAAGCCTTGAAATATCCCACAAATTTATGATATTCCTATGGCTGGATTTTCAAATGCCAGATAATATTATTAATCCAACTAAAGCACAAATTTCTGTCTCATTGGTTTCTTTGCAGTCACTCTTACGTTTGTAATTGGCCGAAAGTTTACTAATAAATATGTTGGTACTTTCTGTAATTACTTTGAGTATGTCTTCAGTTATAAACAAATTAAAACATTTAATAACAGACTTACAGTTTCTGGTCAATGGGAAATTGGATTATGACTTCTAGTTCTCACCTGCTCACGACTCTTGTCCTTTGACCATTTATTGATTTTGTCTTTTTCAATATAAAAACGATTTCCGTCTTCTTGTTCGTCATCACTTGTCAAGTCTTTGTCACTAGAAGATTCAGTCATAACTTCATGCTCACTATCTGGTTCAGAATCACTTTGTATTTGGGTCAATTCTTCATCTGAAGGATATTCTTCTTTTGATGGTATTTCATCATCGCTTGTACATTCATCAAAAAGTTTGAGTAATCGCACTTATTCGGCCACATATTCGCCCATTTTTCCTAAAAATAATTTTGAAAATAATATATAGACAAAGTACATGTTCAGACTACCATTTTGTGTAAGAAGAATAAATATACTTCCCGGGGAAAAAATAAATATCGATAAACAAAATGTAACTTAACTACTCGCGGGGTGTTTGCAGCACCCCATGCACTTGCTTAGGGTACAACGACTAACAGTACACTGATCAGATTCTTCCAGGTGGTAGAGACGACGAAAATATGCAGCTACACAGGCGCACGGCGACGATGATATTATTGCGTAGAAAATATTAACAGTTATATACGCATGGGATGTTCACAACACCCCGCGCGAGTAAAAAAATTAACGGTTATGTCACTACACTCACACCGGTGACCTCATCCCTACTCCAGGTACGTTATAAGATGGGTATTTTATAACAAAACTCGACCTGTTTCGGGATTTTCCTTAAAACTCGACGGTTCTCGAAATAATGATAATCTTCCAGAATTCAGCCGTTCACTATATTTACTAACTAATGTGCATTTTAGGACAGTTGGAAGGCATATAGATCAGACAAAGATCCCTCACTAAAGCAGAAAACAATGACCTTGACTGAGCTTAAAGCCACATACGCTTTAGGATTTGATTGGACAGCTGTATTAGGCAAAGTGACAACTAGTGCTATCACCGATGATACTAAAGTCTATTTTTCCGAGTATCTTGATCAGACTTTTAAGACATTAGTTAGTAAAACTGCGTAAGTTATATTTATATTATTTTTTTTATTTTTCAAACAGATAATATGCAATTTAAAATCTATCTGTACCTATATTTATGTTAGTATCTGTATTTGCCCAATATTGAGCAAAAGCCTTTACTAATTTCTTTTATCTGCTTTTTTGGTATATCATTTTCTTTACTGTTGCATTTGCAAGTATGAAGACTTACACAAGGAATAAAAACAGACAAAAAATATTAAATATAAATTTTATTAATAAAATATACCCCATATGATTAATAGACCTGTTATATAAAATATAAAAATTTTTAGCAGCACAAAATTAGACCATATAAATTATTATTTTCTATAACAAGCAGATCAGATGTTCTTCCGGTACTATGAATCTATGAATTAATGAAAAAAACTGTTTCTATTCAGTCAGCTGTAAAATTTATAAATACTCTCTGATGAACCGTGAATATCTTCTAATTCTTCTTATAAAAATTAATTTAACATTTGAGTTGCTTTCTCGTAGGTTCCAACTGCTTCTGGTTCGATTTTTTACTAACCTGCTAATTTAGTTACCTTTCTTAATGAAACTAAAATTTACAGTCTGCAGCTTCTTCTGAACCTTTGAATCTGGGTGCCTTTTAGAGAAAGACATAGACAGCCTAGCCGTAAATAATTCGTCTTTAAATAACAACTTACGATTGTGATTCTTGGAGATATCTGGTTACATTATATGCTTATATTTACAAAAAACTAAACAAACTTTCATTCACTACTAATCTTTTCTATCACCGGCAAAACAAACAGATAAATTTTTTTATAATTTTACAAAAAACAAATAATTTTTCTCTCCCAAATCTTCTGCGGAACTACAGTCTTATGCTTTCTCTTTCAATATCGAACCTTGCATCCCTTACCCATTTATTCATATAAAAATCCATTCCTTGAACAATCATATTTCTTAAACAAAAAACATATCTATCTTGCCCCCTTCTTTCTTAAGTCAATCAGATTTTTTTATCTACTCACTTCACCCTATTATACAAATAGTCAACATATATCCTGTGGAATAACCATTATTAAAATTCATTATTTTCGGCTGAATAGAAACATTCTACCGAGCTTAGCTTAGTCTATACAATTTATACACCATACTGTCCAAATGAGGTTACTTCTTTTTTTTATACAAATATCTCCTGATATTTCTCTAATCTTTCCTATAATTATCTACAGTTAAAACTGCTTTTACAAATAAATTTTAATATTACAAAAATCTTAAACCAAAATTTTATTCTCAATTTCCATTGCTCATAGAATATTATACCTTTATGCGTCCTTTCAATTCTTTTGAGGATTAACAGTTTCTTTAAATCACTTTTATCACATTTTAGAATCTTCAGAATTCATATCCGAAATTGGACAGTATAATTTTATCACCCAGTAGACCGAATGAATTTATTTGTTATTAAATACACACACGTAGTTAATTAGGTTACATTAGATTTGGTCAATTATCAACAATAAAATTTGGACATCAGTCGAAAGTGCTGACGAAAGTAGGGATGGGAAAAACCTACCAGTTTTAACCGAAAACCGGTTTTTTTACTTCGAAATAACCGGTTTTATCGGTTGTTTTTTTGTCCCGGTTATAATCGGTTTTTTTATTTTTAAAGTAAAAACCGATTATTAGGTTTTTACAGTGATTAGGATTAGATTAGGTATTATTTTGGATCCCGCCCAATCATAATTATTATTCTCAAGTAATTATTCCAAACAAAACTAAAATGCAATTTTTATTTTATTTAATACAGAAGCAAAAGCTCACATTAGCCAGAAACAATTAAATTTTATTATAGTATTTCGTTGAAAAAGTATTTGTAATCATAATATTTTTACATAAGAAGTGATCTGGTATTTATTATGGTTATTTGATTCTTGACATTGAAAGTGGGTGAAGGCTTTTTCTGACTACCAAAAATAATTACTGTGAATATCGAATTACCGATTACGAATACGAAGCTACAAGGATTTCCCTACGTTTTCAAAACGATTTATAACCATACCGGAAGTCGTAAATGAGTTAAAAGTAATACATGATAAATTTTTTTTGATAGTAGTAAAAATAAAAGATGAATTGCATTATTCAATTTATTTTTAAGTAAAATATTTATGTTGATATTATTTTCTTTAAATTCCATTTGAAAGAGTCTGGGGAATTTTTTTCTCACAAAACACAAAAAATTGTGTTGCGAATGTAGTATTGCAAACTAAAGTGCATTGTAAATGTAACTTTTTAATCTATTTGATTAAAAAAACCGAAAACCGGTTTTTGGAAAAACCGGTTTGTTTGGCCGGTTATAACTGACAGGTTAAACTGTAAGCAAAAAAACCGGTATAACCGAAAACCGGTGTTTTGTCAAAAACCGCCATCCCTAGACGAAAGTTAAACAATTTACACACAACTTAGATACACATGTCATTAGGTCCGCGAATATATTGACCCAATTAAAACTTATATAAAACTAAAATCTCTTGCCTAGAGAAGCATTCAATCAATATTCACTCAACAAACTTGATAGTCTTCAACGCTCAACTGCAACAGTCTATACTCAAAGTAATCCCACATAGTGTACGTCTCGTCAATAAACTCTACTACTATTATTTTGTGTTTCCATTACAACTGAACGAACATCTTCACTGAGCCAACGAAGGGGAATTTGTTCAGTAGGAAACCCTTGCCTTTGTCAAGATTCTAAAATGTACAAGATTAGGAAAAAAAAGTTATTGTAAAGTATATAAAAAAACTTACCAAAACGTAAAACGGGACACTGACATTAATGAATTGACTGAAATTAAATTTATATCTGATATCTCATAGTTTACTATTATTAGTATATAAATATTTTTACATGGGCGTATCGTTGGTGTTTTCGAAAAAGGTAAAGCGGAGATATATTATGACTTTAGGAGTTTTTTATGGTGTTTTATTTATTATTATCAAAATCAAATTAAAATATAGTTTATTTGGGTTCTATGTATCTTTGTTGCCATTGATTTCGGTAGTATTTCTTTTTATTGCTATTGATTTGATTCGTATATCTCCCTCTTTTTTTTTTGTTTTATTCGGTTTTTAAAATTTTGACGTTTTTAAAGTCAACTTTATGTTCCCAAGGAATCTAAGTTCATCTAGTTGGCTGTATACCATATATCAACAAAAAATTATTAAAAATCATTTATAAAAGGTATATAATTTAAAAACCCAATCGATCGGGCTATATCACAAAACGTTTTCGGAATCCATGTTCCATAACCAGTGTCTAGGTACACATGTTTGTAGCCACTAAATATGTGGGTAAAAACCCGTTAAAATTATTTGTTTAAATTTAGTTTACATTATGGGTTATTAATTATTATGATGTTAAATTTATCAGTAGATTTGGTAACGTGACGACGCCGACGTAGGACTCCACGTGAAGTTGCCACCCAATCCTGAGACAGGTGTGTCTACGAGGACTTGATGAAAGCAACTGTTGCTTGGGTGTAAATATATTAAATTTAATCCCAAACTCTTTACGGCAGTTCTGGAACATGCTTTCAAAAAACTGTCGCCAAAGTAAACAATGTCGACGGCGAAAGGTCGACAGGTGAGAGAGCGAAATGCTCTCTCACCTACGATTTGCGGACGACAGAAAACAGGAAACTTTAAAGAGATTATAACTGTGCTTACTGAGTTAGATGCCCCCTGTAATAAAGTTGGTTTGCAGATAAATTTTGGAAAGACACGACGAAAAAAGACACGACAGGAAGACATGACAAATAGGGTGGAACGAAAAAGGCCAAAAAAATAAAATAAAAGAAAATGATTGTGGCTATCGTTTAAAAGTTGTGTCAGGTAATGAAAACAAACGGTGCGAAAGCATTTTGAAATAAAAAAAAAATCTTGAGGTTCCATATTGGATTTGAAAAATGAAAAAAACAAACAAAATATTTTTGTTGAAAAAATCGATTTGGCTGTGATCAACAGTCGTCTTTAGGATTGAAAAGCATCTTATGCAAAATTATTTTGAAATTAAACGATGTTTTCAGGTTCCAGAGGCGTCATTTGATAGGATCAAGGTGGCATTTTCCCCCTCCCCTGGCCCTGAAAATGACTGAAATTTACAAAAAATAGATCAATTTTGTATTATGTTTGCATATATAATGTATGGTATATATAATGCTTGCCCCACCCCCATATCAAAATTTCAAATGACGCTCCTGTCAGGTTCCATAATGCCATTGAATCTTGATGGTATGAAGTACGTGTTCCAAACAACGCCAGTTGTAGATCAAGTAGGTAGAGAAGGGAAAAACGCAGACGCAGATGTTACATCAATCTTGCAACCATTCACGCAGGCATAGTGACACAACAACAGATAACAGTAATGTTGAGTTTCTTATCTCACACAGACGTGTCGTATATAAACATATTCTTCGAAATGTCAACGCGAAGTAGTTTGAACTGTGAAATACTAGGAACAATTATTGGTGTTTTCAATGATCGTGTTTTACCCACTAAGTGTGACATTCTAAAGTGCTTTCTCTTTATTCGTAATGAACTTAAGTTAACAAATAATAATAAAGATCCATATATCGCCGACACCTCGAATGCCGTTGCAACGAAAGTAGAACAAATATGGATATTTCTTATTCCAACATTATCGCATAAGCGCATTCAAGATATGATTAAAAATATTTATACAGAGTATCAAAAGCTGAAGCGATACACAAAAACTCAGCAAGCATCTAATTCATACAAAGAAAAGATTTGCCAGTTTCGAAATGACTGTAAAAAGTTATTTGATATCGCGGCTTGCAAGTGCAACATGAGTGGAACACTGTGTGAGTGTACTTGTCATAAAACCAAGAAAGTACCACAAAATGAGCGAATTTTTCTTCAAGATCAACGATCCTGTAGAAAAATGGCAATAGGACCAGTGAATATTGCAGCATCTGCTGCAATAAGGAAGAAAATGGAAAGAACCACGAAGGCAAAGGCAAGTTCTCAAAAATATAATACTGAAAAAATTGTTCTTAAAGCATGTACCGTTGATTCCTCAAATCGTTCCATAAACTTGTCTGACTCAAATTCTTCTGATGCAGATGATCATGAAGAAGAATTCATTGCCCCTTTGTCAACAGTTACAGTCCAACCATCTACGTCACAAATGCGGATTGTCTTGCCAAGTTTAGCTTCGGCGTGCGACAGAACCGGGGTCTCCGATCGTTCTGCTGCAATTATAGCATCAGCGGTCTTAAAAGATATGGGAGTTATAACTGACTGATACATCGAAAGTAATTGATAGAATGAAAATAAGGCGACAGCGTGCATCTCATAGACGTTCACTCCAGAAGCAGAAGGAGGGACTGTCAATCAGAAGTATATTTTTTGATGGGCGTAAAGAGACAAGACTGTCTTGCAACCAAAAAAAGGAAAAAAGTTTTATAAAAAAGTAGTTACAGAAAAACATGTAACAATTATTGAAGAACCAGGCTCTCGATATCTAGGGCACGTGTCTCCTTTATCAAGATCGGCTGCAAACATCGCGGATAGCATACAGACATTCATCCTGAAAAATAATATTGATATATCGAAGTTAAGCGCAGTTGGATGCGATGGTACGGTAGTGAACACTAGCCCTCAAGTAGGCGTTATAAGAAAACTGGAAGAATACTGCGGCACCTCACTTCAATGGCTAGTATGCTTATTACATTGCAACGAACTACCTCTACGTCATTTAATACAACAGTTAGATGGACGCACCAGTGGACCACTTGGTTTTTCAGGGCCATAGGAAAACTTCTGGAACGCTGTGAAGAGAAAGCTGTCGTCAATTTCGTTGCAATAGAAAACATCCTACCAGTATTATTAGAAACAACAGACCTTAGTACCGATCAGAAGTACTTGTACCAAATCAGTCAAGCAGTTTCTGCAGGAAAATGTCCTAACGATTTGAGCCTTCAAAAACCTGGTAAAATATCACACGCAAGGTGGCTGACAGTTGCTAATCGGTTGCTTCGATTGTATGTTGGCACCGAATGTCCCAGCCCTCAATTAATTATGTTAGTAAGTTTCATCCAAAAAGTGTATGCACCAGTTTGGTTTTATATAAAACTGTATCCTAGCTGTTCTGATGGTTCGAAACATTTATGGCGAATGATCCATTATTCACAATTTCTACCAGTTGACCAAAGAAAAATTGTCGATGCAGTTATCCAAAGGAATGCTTATTTTGCCCATCCCGAAAATTTATTACTCGGAATGATAAAAGATGAACGAAAACATATACGGGAGCTAGGACTACGCAGAGTTCTGAAAGCTAGACAAAGTCAGAAAGAAAAAAAGATCCGGAGATTTAAAATACCAACATTAAATTTTAGTGCTGAAGATTATATTGACTTAATTTCTATTTCTGAATGCAGTGTTACGGTTCCGCCTTTGCTAAAATATATTTCCAATGAAAATGTAAGGGATATGATTGATTCCGGGAATCACAACAAAATAGAGGTCTTAAACTGCCCTTGTCATACCCAATCTGTCGAAAGGACTGTTAAGTTAGTAACTAAAGTATCAGCTGTTGTTTATGGACCAGAATCAAGGGATGGCTTTATTCGTTCAAGGTTGCAGTCTAGAAATATTATGCCGTTTTTTAACAAAAAATCAGACTACCAATCATAAAATGTATATTGCATCATAAAACAATTATTTTGATTAAAAAAACTAATAAAAAAATAAATTTTTTAAATTTTATTTTTTTTTTGGTATTTCCAAAAATTTAAATTCAATATGGAACCTGAAGATAGGGTCAAATCCAAAAAATATCAAAACGCAACTTTTCCGCACTAGCCCCAAAAACAATAATGACTTCGACTTTTTCGTTCCACCCTAATGACAAATCTGATACCAAACGAAAATTTAAAAGTCGACTGCAATGACCAACATCTAATGATTATCCAATATTTATGGAGTAGTTTATTTATATAAATATTTGGACCATGAAATACAAATTGCTAGTTTTAACCAAACTGCTATGGCCACATATAGAGCTCTATCAGACATATTCAAAAGCAACATTCCAAATTATTTAAAAAAAAAACGGTCGACCAACGTGTACTTTCAGTTATGAACTACGGCGTTGAAACACTTGTCTTAACCCAGGCTAGAGCAAACAAACTCAGAGTGCACCAAAGACGAATGGAACGCTCGCTACTTGGACTGTCTCTTAGAAACAAAGTTTGAAAGGAAGAAAGATGAAGAAGAACACGTGTAGCAGATCGCAGATGTCATAAAGCGCATAGCATTGATCAAGTGGAACTGAGTGAGTCATGTGGCCAGAATGGATGACCGGCGGTGGACCCAAAACATTACAGTGTAGAAACCACGAACTGATAGAGGAAGCAGAGGTAGACCACCTAAACGGTGGACAAAAGATATCGAAAAAATTGCTGGGAATTGGCTGCAGGTAGCTCAAGACCGACAGAACTGGAAAAATTAAGAGGAGGCCTAAGTTCAACTTTGGACCTAGAAGGCTGGATTATGATGATGATATAAATATTTTACTTAATATTTTTAATTTAAAATTAGAAATTATGGAAACAAAATCAATTTTAACAATATTTCTAATCTATTGGTCTATTATACTGCATATCCCAGTACATCTGATAATAATAAATATTCTGTAAGACACCAAATACTCTTAGTTTTAATGTAAAATATTGTTTTTTATCAATGATATATTTTAGGAATCTAAAAGACATGTTGGATTTATGGTACAGTGTTCAAATGTATAAAAACGTTGTTATGGAGAAACAAACTGGCAATCTAGGACATTACTGTATACAACTTACTTCTGAACTTATTCCAGAAGTTAGTTCCCATATAATACATGAGGTAAACAATAACAAAGAAAAAGACGAGTTATATTCACTAGTTGATACATTACTGGATAATTTAAAAACTCGTTTTGAACATTCCCTGGGAGAGGCTAATTTTGTAACAGATTCTTACAGAATTCTAGGAGATAGACTTAATCAAATGCAGTTATCGAAACCGAAACCAATTAGTCTTAAAGGTAATGTTAATTTTATTTGTTTTATTTGATGTCAGTACTTATTTCGTTGATTTTATTTATATCTAATAAACTTGTGTAATGCCCTCTGTTGAAACCTTAATCTGATAGTAATACTAAATTTCTTGTTTACTTTATTGCTTATGATTTTATCGTCCACTTGAAGACGACTTCGTATGTCAATATAGGTATGTGACGCTTTCAATCCATTAAATATATTTGAATTCATTCATTCATTTGATTTTGCAACACTAAATGTAAAAAGTTTCCAGTATCTTTATATGGTTTACTTCGTATTGCTCTGAAGCTATTTTCTTGTGGCATTTTAAAGTAATTGCTATTTAAATGGGAATAAGCCACAATAAAAGGTTAAAATACGTCTATTGACGTGTAAATTTACATTTCGGAAATCGTTCTTAAAATACGACATTAGTAAATTAAACAAATTTTGTTTTTTTTTGTTAATTAATTTAATTTAATTTAGTATCAGAAAAACTTAAAAGGATAGGAAATAAATTCAACATTTCAACAACCTTCAAAACAACAAACACGCTTAGATCTATTTTGTCCAAAACCAAACCTAAAAATGAACAAGAAAAGACAAAGAATTGCATTTATAAATTACCTTGTAAATGCGAACCGTTTTATTTAGGTGAAACATCAAGGCCATTAAATGTTAGAATAAGTGAACATCAGTCTTCCATTAAAAATGGAGAATTTGATAGATCTCAAATATGTAAACACGCATGGGATAATGAACATAGGGTTCAATGGAATAATTCAAATGTAGTCCTAAAAGAAACGGATGGTAAAAAAAAAAAAATAAAAAAAAGCGGCTCTAATTATGCTAAATGAGGCCAATTGTGTCGCAAATTCCTCGGCAGAATGTAGTAGGATCTGGTTACCAATATTGAAAGAGGAAGTTATTAATAAGAAAATATCAGTATTACTAAGTCAGTAACATATAGAGGATACATAATTTATGTTTTTTAAATAACGTAACATATAAAATCAGAATTTTGATGTTTGTTGAAGGTAAACTAAATTCACGAACAAATACTTACAATGTCGGGATAGTAGTATGAGGTTTTTTTCCTGGTTTTTTTTCCCTCATAATTTACTATGGAATCACTAACAGGAGAATTTTACTGTCATCATGTCAAGTGTTTGTTTTTTTAAAGACGAATTACATGCTATGATTTTTTCTGACGGATATTCTCACATTAAATTACACAGTACCCAAAAAATACCACAAATCCTAACCTTATCATTAATGCGTTCAAAGAAATTATGAAGAAGTATCCAAATCACCACATAATATACACAGATGCATTAAAAACTGAAAATGGTCATGCCGCATCCTTCACAAATAAAAATTACAAATGTTCCAATAAAATTCCATAGCACTGCAGTATTTATACCGGGAAAAACACAGCGATATTAGAAGCTATTAAAAACTCCTCTTCAACGACTGAAAATAATATTTTAATCATCACAGATTCACTCAGCGCAATTCATGGAATTAATAAACTTTTCCCTAGCCATTCTATTACACAAAATATAAGAAATAAACTTAATGCACTACACCATATAAATAAAAAGGTTACATTTATCTGGATACCTTCACACATTGGTATTAAAGGCAACGAGGAAGTTGATCACTTGGCATTAAAATCCATCAGAAATGAAAATGTTCCAGAAATTACTAAATATCCCCACACCGACCATAAACGACAGTCCATGAATCATATAATAAATTTATGACAAGCACCCTGGGACGCAACAGACTCTAAATAGAAAACAATAAAGCCTCGAGTAGACGGCAGCCTACCCACAACAAGGAAAAAGAAGAGATCAAGTAATCGCAAATCGTCTTCGAATCGGCCACCCAACCACACAATACTAACACACCAACACCTAAATAAAGAACCAGCTCCGATTTGTATCTACTGCCCTACTCAACTCACCGTGAAGCATCTGATAATCAACTGTCCGCAGTTCCAACCTCAGAAAACTTGTCGAGGAATTAGTGGAAACCTGAGAAGTGCGCTTACAACAAATATCTCGGATTTGTTTCGAGTTTCTAAAAGACATAAACATTTATAATAAACTTTAATTTATCAAACTGTACTACTGTGTATGTCCCCCCACTAATAAGCCTTGGTGATTGATGTGGGTTCTCTATGTTTAAATAAAAAAAATTAATTAATACAGTCAAATAACAAGCTGTATCCGAAAGAGATAATAATATAAATAATATTTTAAAGTGTAAACTGAATATACGGTATAAAATAAAAGAAATACGTTCGTTTTACAACTTATATATTTGATAACTACAAATTAACTGACACGTAAAAATTTAGTTCAATTAACAAAGTTAGAAATACTGTGTAGAAATAAAAATAATGATGTTGCAGTAATTAATAAGAATATATTACCTGTGTGATATAAGCTATTGGAACCGCAGTGTCTTTCAAACGAATAGAAGAAAATGAAGTTATAGCAATATCTTTTTCTAAAAAATGTTTTAAATATAAAACACTATATAACCGCTATTTTGGAAACTTAAAAATATGCAATAATGACTGAAAAATTAATCGAGAAACATTTCTAAGTTACTGTAAGATTTTTTAAGAATACTATGAATTTATTCTCTGAAGTACGAGCGATTACTTTGTTTACATATTTGTATACTAACCTGTCGAACGTTATTCCTGAAGATTTTATATTAACATTGCTTCTGTTACTGCAACTACGTTGAGAAGAAGAAACCATTATTATGCACTATCACAATATAATATTACAGTTTCTATAAAAGTATTATAAAACTAAAAATGTGAAGTCGTTTTTAGTCACGTGATGCCCTCTCGATAGATTTTTATTTAATGTTTACTTCTAATATCCATTTTATCATAGTAGAAAATGAAGTATAGAAAATAGTAACAGCCGTATCACTGAATCCTGCGGAATCTGTTGGAAGTCAGTATATACGTAATAGAATATTTTGATAATTTATATTATTGTTATTTCCAATGCATCCATCAATTTAAACTAGACAAAAATTTTAGGTGTATCGGTTTCACAAATTAATGGTGTCTATCAAGACCAACTGTATCAACTGATGGAGCGTTACAAAAAAGAAATATATGGTCAAGTTGGACAACCTGTAACATCCGAAGTATTGTAAGTATTTATGGTAGCATAATATAAATGATAAATCTATTTTTAAATGGTACTTGAGGCAAACATAAGAATGCTCTTAGGTTTTTATTCTAGGATTCATATTCCAGAACCTCATCACACAAAAATTGTGGTAGTTACCCTATACAATACAATGTTACTGTTCTCATTTATTTGACAGCTAGTAATGAGGACGCATAGTGCAAGAGTAGCCTGACTTTTAAATACTGGTTTTGAGAAAAAGGCGATTTAAGTTTTTTTTATTATTTTGACCGCTCGCTGGTTCTCCAAGGATTCTTAACCTTACTTTTAAATTTAAACATATTAACCCTGCAGTACCGTTCGAATTAAGCATGCAAATGTACTGTTGGATCAATATGACCCAACTATGGTTTACGGTCCTTAAATAAGCTAATGGTGCTAAACAATACTTTATTAACAACAAATTATAGGTAATTAAAAAACAAAAATTATGTTGCTAATCTCAATTAAACCTTATTACCAAAAATAAAAAGCATTTTTTCCTTTCCCAGAAAAGCCTAAGAACAAATACCTACAAAATATAATTTAGTTTACAACTGAGACAGTAATAAAAAGAATGTCTTGTTATCGTTTTTAGAGCAAAATTTACAGCGTGCCCGTTTAGCAGGCAGAGTTAGATTGTCCATGATGGTTCACTAGAATTTCCATCTTCTCTACTTGCTTTTGTTCGTGTTCTTTTTACCAGTTCTTGTGAGTCTTTAGTTTTTGGTAAATTTTTCCTACCTTCCTTGGTAAGTGGTTTCACCAGTGTTTTTCCCAATTCCTCAAGAAAAATTCGCCGTTTTGTAAGTTTGTTGGTGTTTCATTGAAGATTTATTGATGTCCATAAAACGAACTAGTTGTAGGCAGAAATATCCAGCATATAATAAAAAACAATCATAGGCTAGCGATTTGTCTTCCTCTTACATGTATATGTACCAACAAGCTAATCTAGAGTATCCACTGCTCCCTTACTGGAATTGTAATCTAAAATAATTCGGGGCTTTTTGTCATTTCTGTTACTTATAGCCTTATCATGATGCAAAGTACTCATAAGAATAACATTTTTATTCTTTTTAGGAATATAGTTATCAACATTGGTATCTGGTGTGAAGTTGTAGCATTTTCAATTTCATTGATTCTTTTGAGTATATTGAAACCTCCTCGTATAATAAAATATATTAAAAAACTCCTTATATATATTTAAAAAATAAAACGAGAAATTCTCCCGTGTTTGTTAGTTCGTATCTTTCAAAGTACCCAAAAGTGTTTCGTCGCCGAGTAATAAAACCATTTGAGAGTTGTTTATTTTACTTTGGCAAATTTCTTTTCAATTTTATGCCTCGCAAAGGATATGTACGTCGTTTCGTGGTGTCTTGTTATGTCAGCGTTTGTATGTATGCGTTCAATTTTAATAGAATTTCTTCACTCTCGTTGGAACCGCGAGCAAGAGCGGTTCAGCGTTATGTCCAAATTCATGTCGAGTTTGTAAAATTTTCTGTTTTTTCGTTGATTGTGGTGGAATTGGGTAGCAGTAGTGATGGATTTTGTCCAGTATGAAGTGACCGGCATTAATTTGCCGGGAGTAGTGAAGTTTTCGCTCGATATTTCGAGATTTTTGAAAAGTCTGGTTCCTGTTGGAGGGTTCATGTTTTTTTTGAGAGTTCTCGTTTTCAAATGGATGTGTTTGCTGCTGATCTCCGGATGCATACTACAGAGATATAACAAGTTCTTTTTGTGAAGTGGAAATATGTAAATCAAGGTAACTGTTTTTTTGTGTTCAAATTTTAAACTAAAGACAGACAATTTTTTTTATGAAATAATAATTGCTTTCGTTACATTTAAAATTGTAAATTTTTGGTTTTGAGTTGAGCTGTCAATTTATGTGTTTAGTTTTTTTGAAATTTAATGTTAATTTATGACAGCTCGTTTTATTATTTTTTGATTTTACTTTGTTTTGTTAAAAAAAAAGGTTAACCTCCATGCAATTTTGTAAGTTTTGTAGCAGCAGAGTTTGTAAGCGGATGACACATCTAAGTTTTTGTGTTTTGTTTTTTTTTCCATGTAACTGTTTGTGGTGACACATAAATAAAGGTTAAATTTTGTTGTCTTAACTTTTTATGTATTTTTTTTTTATTCTTATTTGAAAAAGATATGTTTTTTATGTTTTGATTTTGTTTTCTAATTATTTTCCTAGTTACAACTAGTGGTTGTAATAGGCATAATTAGGCACCTCAAGTGGCGCCCTATATTAAATTCCTTGAGGTGTTTCTCGTTTATTTTTATTTTGTTTATCCCAAGAGCCCTTTATTTCATTTTTTGTAGTTCCTCCATTCCAATGCCCTTATCTTTTACTTATCCACGACCCTAGCTCTTCTACCAAACCCTGAGTGCCGTTCGCACAAGTACCGATTATTTTGCTTGCCCTATCTCCACCCCCTTAGTTTCTTGCCCCAATTTTCTACCCCTTATATTAATGCCCCCTGTGGTAGGCAAAATATATACCGTTACAAAGTAAAAAAGACGAACTATGAACTTCTTTATTCGTAATTTGTGCTGGAAGCTCTGACTTATTTTTTCTTATAGTTTCCAGCATTGCGTATATTTTTAAAAGAAGTTGTTCTAAATTATATGATGTAAAAAAGGTATCACAAGTAATATTGTGGCCTTTCAAATCACTACAAAAGTCGCACATCACAGGCATTCGCTGATTCCGTTCCGGCGCGGCACCTGCTTCCTTTCCTGTAAAGATCTGCAATTTTAGAGCATACGAACTTTTACTGTTACATAAAGCCCAAATTTTTATGTCATATTTTGCTTGAAATGTACTATTTGAAAAGATAGCGGCCTCTAAAGACAACTAATTGCTCGATGGCGGTAACATTTTCATCAAGGCTAAAAAATTTTGATAAATTTTCTACCCATTTTTTCCAAATTTCACGTATTGTAGCAAGTTTATCAGTACGTGTCGTATCCTGTCTAGTAGTCTTGTTATCGATGTTATAGTTGATTCGCTATGGGTCTTAAAAGCTTCAGCTAACAATAAAAGACCAATGTATGCTTTCAAACCAATTTTATCCAATTCTTTCTAGTTGGATCCAAAAACTTGCTGTCCTTTTATAATGGTCATATTTATAATTTGGTTTGCAACTATGTCAGAAACGAATACATCAAATGAATTTTTGATATCGAAAATTCGTGCACATGCGTACCTTGTAACTCCTGGATTTATAACATTGGCAGTGGAAAAACGACCGCGTTGATAAGAGGATCTAGAGATCACGGAATATTACCATATTTTAAAGGAACTGTTACAGAAGGTTCTACAGGATATTGTACATAGAATGGAACAGCAGAATCATCACTACTTCCTTCCTCACTCTTACTACTTGTATTGTTTTCTGTTTCTGATATGCATTCATCACTCTCTGACACGTTCGCTAGTTCTAGAAGCTCATCTTCAGTTAGTGTTCTTGGATGCGACATTATCAACATGCAAACATAGACTGAAATTTGAAATGTAAATGAGTGCGCTTGGCAAACCAGTGTCCTACCAGCCTATCACTTGTCTATCACCAACACTTCCTTCTATTTGACATGTTCTTCTAAATAACATCGTCCAGCCACACTACATATTTCTACAAGTTCTAGCTTGCAGAAACTTGTTTTCATTTATAGACATACTTGACTGAGAAAATATATAAAATACGGCCAACTAAACATACGTATATAGGTAATTTTCAACGGTTTAAATACGTACTATTATTAAGATTATTAATATTAACCAGATCGTACTATAGGGAACAATTTATTTTTATCAAAAAAAAAACAGGAAGTTGATTTTTTATTTCGTATGCAATCGAAAGGCCTCATATTAAGGTAAGAAAGTTACGAAACACCAAAGCGTTACGCCGCGTAATATATTGCAAAATAAAAAATAAATGTTTTTAGTCAAATAGACCCGAACAGGACAGCGGGGTAAAATTAAATTAGTACATTTCATTTCACATTAATATCATAAAAAAGAGAAAATTTAATAAAAATTTTTTTAATAAAATTGTAGGCCACTTTTGCACTAATATATGAATAAAAGAAATAAAGTACGTTTTTAAACAAAATATAATTTTTATTATTAATGGTATTTCCTAGTTTTTTTTTAATAACGCCTCTGTCATAAACAAATGTTTACTCCATGTTTGTAATGTTTGTGTTATTTTTATAATTTAATTTAAAGAACAAATAATTATTCTGATCTAGAAATTTCAAAATAATATACAACCTTTTGCTTTTTTATAATATTAGAATTTTAGCAACACTCACTTTATCAAAAATGCATCGCTATTGGCAGGAGCAGCGACGACAATGACAAAGGAATTAATTTATATTGAATATAAATTATATATATATATATATATATATATATATATATATATATATATATATATATATATATATAATATATAAGTTAACATAAAAAACTACATATGTTAATTTTTAGTACGTTTTCAAAAAGAGTACAATAAACTCGAAAGCTTAACAAACCTAAAAGAGTTTTACTTAAAGGCCAATATTGACTACTAAACCCAAGATATCCGTATATATTACTCACATAGTCACAAAAGCCCAAAAGAATATAATATATATATATATATATATATATATATATATATATATATATATATATATATAATATATATATATATATATATATATATAATATATATATATATATATGGTAATTATCCTTTTAGATTAAAACTTTTCGTTGGAGCATTCGACACTGAGCCGAAGACCTATCCTCCAAACAGAGAAATTTGTAAGTTTGTATATATAATATACTATTATGTATAATGTGAATTTTCATGTAAGTTTTTATAATTAGTATTTTCAGAACAATTTCCAAAATAGAAATTGGAACATTACAATAAACGTATCTTGAACTGAAATTAAAGTTAATTGGTGATTTGTAAAAATCATTCTCAAAATGTACAACATTTGGTTCCGATCTGAGAAGCGCAATATATAGAGTATATTTTATTATTTCCGTTTGCTTCAAATGTAAAAATTAAAATTTTTAAATAGAGAGGTAAAAACAACCATTGAGATTCTACTACTTTCCAATATACTCTTAAATGCAGTTGAAATAATTTTAGGAAAAGCTATTCCACTTTGCAAGAGATATCTACAAAACAATAATTTTGATTATATCACCTCCTGTTTTAGATATTCAAAAAACAGTAAGTAGTCAACCTGTTTTGACGAATTTCTATGTAGTGGGCGTCGTTCTAAAAAGACGGCATTTAAGATCCGTTGTTATTTTTCACACTGTTTCGTCTCTGTTCTACATCTTAGTGACACTTTGTTGTGATATAGTTTATTTCTCTTATTTGTGACCTCTAATTTTCTAGGTTGCGTTTATTCTCTGCATTACAATTTATACTTGAGCACCTTCTGTTTCTGTAAAGTACGGAGGGCGAGTTAAGTTTCACAGCACTTAGGCCACAATTGACCCATTGTGCATCCTTCCAGGGAGCTGTCACCCTTAGCTCATTGTCCATCCTGCCATTTCTAGGAAGGTGGACAAGTCACCAGGAGACATCTCACTTATGTGGGCAGGTGTAGGCCAGGACTCGCCGAGCGCGTACTCTCGTATTAATGATAACTCTGGGCATTCGCATAGGACATGCTCTACTGTTTCGTCTTCTCGTTCACACTTCCTACATAGAGGTGTGTCTACTAGCCTCAGTGTGTGGAGGTGTTTGCTTAGTTGACAATGACCAGTTAAAAAACCAACTGCCAAACGTAGACTTTTCCTGGTCATTCCCAAGTACTTCTTTGATGTTGACTCTTCAAGGTTACTTAGTGTTACCCTGGCAAGTCTACATCCTTTATTTTCTTCCCATCTTTTTACGGTTTGCGTATGGGAGTGACATTTGACAATTTCCGCGATTGTTGTAGTTGACCAACCAAAAAGATCCCCAGGTCCTAAGACTTGAGCACATTAAATCATATTGTGCTGGAGAAGCTTGATGTCATCTGACCATATTGTTGAAGGACGTTCTATATTACGATAAGCATCGTGTCTAGGTCTCCATTTTAAAATTTTCTTAGTCCATCTTTCATTTCTGACTTTCGCAACATCGGCTGCCCAATTCCTTTTGGGTTGTAATAATTTTAATTATTTTCGTAACACCAACTGTTCTCCTATTTGAAATGTAACTCAGGCTCTGGTTAGTATATTCAACATTGATCTCTCCATCGCTTTTCTGCTAAGGGTCAGTGTTTCTGCTCCATTCGTTAAAACTAAAAGCACATATTGGTTAAAGTCCTTCCTTATTAAACACATGGGAATGTCTGATCTGAATATTTCTCTAAATTTTGCATAAACTTAAAATAATAATTTTTAAAAAGGCAAAATCGGGGAGGATCAGCCAGGCTTTACTGCAGGAAGATCATGCATAGACCACATATACACACTAAAACAACTGTTGGCAAAATAAAAAAGAAAAAAGCAAAAGACAGAGATATACATTTGGCATTTGTGGACCTGAGAAAGGCGTATGACTCTGTACTCAGAAAGGTCAGAACTATGGGAAGCAATATACAAATTAAAAATACAGATGGAACTCATAGAAGCTACAAAGTCTCTGTATAAAGAAAATAAAATGTCTATTAAAATGGGGACAAGAATCATAGGAGACATTACCACAACAAAAGAGCTCCTGTAGGGTTATTTCACATCCCCAAACCTATTCAAATATACCTAGAGAAAGCCTTGACTACATGGAAAAGAAAATGTGAAGGCATGGGAGTACCGGTACGAAACGAATACCTATATACGTTAAGCTTTGCAGACGATCAAGTAGTGATTAAACAAGACCAAGAAGATTTCAGTTACATGAGGAAGAAACTTCAAGAAGAATTTACTAAGGTTAGCCTAGATATTGACCTCGCAAAAACAGAGTACCTATCTACAAGTGAAGAAGACATAGCAGACCTACAGATTGACGACAACGTAACAATCAAAGGAAAGGATAAATTCATATACTTGGGGTTTATATTCAGAAAAAAGGCAACAATAGAGGAAAAAATTAAATAAAGATAAGAAAAAACAACAACATCAAACTTACAACTTAACTTAACATGGTGGAATAAACACCTAAATATGAAGACGAAAACACAGATTCATAAAATATTAGTGCGAGGTATTATGACAAATTGGGCTGAAAATTGGATTATAAACAAGAAAAACCTCTGTAAGATCAGAAACAGAGATGGAATGCCTAAAGTAACAAAAATGGATAGGACAAGTATTAACGAAATAAAGAAAAAAAAATAGAAACAGACATACTAACACATATAGAACAAAAAAGAGTAAAGTAGTATGGACATGTAAGAAAAACTAGTAACAGTGGATGGATAAAGAGAATAACCAAATGGAGCCCCATAGGAAGATGGAAAAGAGGACGACTTTGAAGATCCTGGAGAAATGAAGTAGACGACGCCATGAGCAAGACAGGCCTAAACATCTATGAGTCTTACTCTGTCAAACGCTTTTTTAGGTCAATCAGACACAGAAATGCTAGTCTATTATACTCTAGTGCTTTCTCAGTAATTTGCTTTATAACGAATATTGCATATGTACACGATCTTTCACTACGAAAACCCAGTTGTTCATCTACTAAACTTATCCTCTGAAACTTATCCTTAACTTATCCTAAACTTATCCTCTGATAAGTTAGTCCTCTGTAGTTTTCTGGCTGTTTTTTATCTCCTTTTTGAAAGGTAGAATTAGTTCGTTTGTTCTTTCTCCGTAAAGTCGTTTTAGAAATCGATCTACGTACAAAAACCAGTAAAATTCTAGTTTGGCAATTCATTTGTTGGTAAAGTTCGAGTTTTGTATTATATTTTTTAACGATCACCAAATTCGCAGCCAATATTTTAGGACGAACAAATTTTCAAAAGCGTCAAAAAATAAATTTTTAAAATAATAAATTTCCTGTATAAAAGGACCTCCAAGTAAATATTGTCCTATCTGACAGTTGGTTATTTGGAAGATAGACATTCTTCTTTTTCTTCTTTTTATATAGACATGACTCTGTCTGTCGGTTTTTCAATGTGCCTCCAGTAAGTTGTCATTCAATCTTTTTCTTGGTCTTCCTAAGGATCGTATTCCTATTGGGGAACCTTCTCTTGCCATCTTTACTACTTTATTTGTTGTCATTCGGTTTATATGATCGTTCTATTCTACCCTTCTATTTCTTACTGTTTTTTATGTTCTCCTTCTTGCATCTACCTCGTATATCTGTACTTCTAGCTCTGTCCCATAGTGTCTTATTATCAATTTTTCTAAGCGTTTATATCTCTGATGTTTCCAACATCCTTTTTGTCCTTTTTAAATCAGGTTTTGTTTCTGCCGCGTATGTCATTATTGGTCTAATGACTGTTTTGACCATATTGTTTCATTTAGGTAGCCTGCGGCTCTGTTTTCTCTATTCACTTGATCTTAAACTTCGATTTCGAGCTTTCCGTAGCTAGATAATATAATGCCTGGATATCTAAACTCCATCACTTATTCTATTATCTAGCCTTCCAGCTCAAATTTACATTTTAGTAAATTTGTTGTTGTAACCATGCAGTTTGTCTGTGTTGAAAAAATTAACGTGTTAAATTTTCTGGCGATTATATTAAATTAGTGCAGCATATAGTGTATCTCCCTGTTTTATCTTATTGTCAGCTTCAATAGGGTCGGTCAGTTCTTCTGCTACTTTTACTTTTATTGTGTTGTTTTGGTAGATATTTTCGTTCGTTTTAATTATTTCTAGAGGTGTCTCTCTTGCATACAGTAAGTGGATAACGTCTTTTAGTTTGACCCGGTCAACTACCTTTGTAAGGTCCACGAAACATAGATATGCCGGTTTTGTTGTATTCTGATGATTTTTCTTGCACTTGCTTCATTATAAATAAAGCGTCGGTGCATGATCTTCCCGACCTAAAACCTTGTTGTTCTTTTGCCAGTGTTATAATTTAATTCAATTTATTTGTTATCACTTTGGTTGTTAATTTTAGTTTTGTGTTTAATAAGTTTATTTCTCTGTAATTATCCGGGTCTGATTTGTCTCCCTTTGTGAAGAGAGATATTAGGATGTTTGATCTTCATTCTTGAGGAATTCTGTTTTCTTCTATTATTTTTTTAATTAATTTTAACAGTTGTTTGGTCAGATCTGGTCCTCCGTCACTTTGGGAGTTCGTTCGGTATTCTCTCCTATCCTGGTGATTTTTTATTTTTTAATTCTCTTAATGCTTCCTTTGCCTCCTCTTCCTGAATATTTATTTCTTCGTTTGTCGTCACCTCTGGTGTTGGTGCTTCATCATCGTCACCTTTAGCAAACAGGGATAGAAAGTAGTCTACCCATGTCACCATCTGAATGTGTTTTGTTTTTTTTAGTTCGTTCATCTCTTTTCTTTGTCTTCTAATCATTCTCAATATTTCTTTTTGTGTTCTCCAGAAATCGTGTTCCCTGGTTTGAGAAACTCTGCCAGTGTTCCTTATTGTCCTATTATCCTATTTGTCTAAGTAAAGTATTCGTTTCATTTCTGATTTGTTTATATTGGTTGTATGCCTGTTGTATTTGTTGTGTTCTGTATTGTAAAAGGGCTTTCTTCTTTTCTTCACATTTTGTCGTCACTTCCTCTCTAAACCATGGTATTTTTTTTTGATATGTTAGTATTCGTTAATGTCCTCTCTACAAGTGAGTCTGTCGCTGCGTTACTTGCATTATTTTTGAGTTTTTCCCAGCTTTTCCCGATGTCTTCGTTTTCTAATATTTCATTCGCAGCGAACTTCTCTGATATTCTTTTTCTGTATAAATATGCCGTCGATTCCGTATTTAGTCCTACAACTTTGATTTTTTTGTCTGTGTTGGCGCCGTTCTCTTGGAGGGGAAGTATTTCAGGATTATTCTTATTTTACATAATACTAGGCTTATTTTTGATAGATGTATCTCTGTTGGTTATAATATAATCTATCATAGATCTTTGTCCACGAGTGTTATTAAATGTATATTTGTGTTGATCTTTGTGGTCAAAAAATGTGTTGTTTAGTCTTAGTTCGTTATTCGTGCAGAAGTTGATCATTAATTCTCCATTTTCGTTTTTAACATTCTCGTTATGTTTTTGTTTGATGCCGGGTATTACTTGGTTGCCTATTCCTGCATTTAAATCCCCCAATATTACCATCTTTAATCGGACTTGATCTACTACTTGTTGTAATTGGTCATAAAACGCTTCCCTTGTTGTTTGAGGCTTGTTATTTTCTGGGCCATATACTAAGATGATGTTCAGGTCTTCCTTCTTTATTTTTATCTTTGCTGTTACTATTCTTTCTGATATGTATTGAAACTCTTTGATGTGATTTTGGTACCTTTGGTGTATTAGTAAGGCTACATTTTCTTTGGCCCTGTTATCTTTCGCTACTTCGCTGTAGATTAGTATGTGTTCACCTAATTTTGATTGACCTTTTCTTTTATTTTTTGTCTCCTGTAGAGCACAAATGTCTATTTCTAAAGGATAAACATTCAATCCTAGACTAAAATGTACCCGTCTTTTTAAGTCAAATTATATTGTGGTTATTTATCTGTAAGATGAAAGTAATTTTTTTTTCGGATCACACCAATAGTAGTACTCACTGTGTAATAAAGGGGCACATATAGTAGACCACACAATAGGTAGTCTGAACTTATTAAACAAATTGAGACTGAAAAACTTTTTAATTACCCTTGCGTTTATCTTAATAATTTTGTTGACTCTTTAGTCTTCATCATCTCAGAATGAGGTATTAAGATATCATCTAAAATCCTAAACAAACTTGTTTGAAATATGCTGCTTCAAAAAATTATTGTAACAAACATACCCTATATTTAGGGGAGAGTCCTACAGTACCGTCACCTTAAGGTTTATCAACAAAAAAATCAAAATGCTAAAAGGTACATGTTGAATACTTCCTGTCATGTATGAAAGGACTATTATGCTGTTAATAAAAGTAATAAACAATCATAATGTTTCAAAATAATCACTTTATTAATGAAAATTAAAGATAAGGAAAAATCAGACTATAAAATTGGCCTACAGTACCGGCCAGTAAATATATTACCAATTAAACAATACAGAAATCACAAATATATTGTTTGGATAGCTCTGATATGTTCGCACAAGCCTTATGAACCCAAATATTACAGTTTCCACACTGTATCCAATCCTCTTCATGAGATTCAGTGCACAAAGGACAAACTGTCACTTCTTCAACCGGTCTGCTAGGAGGAGTTAGGTTTTCATCATTATTTTTCCTACTTTTCTTAGTAACATATCTTCCTGACAACAAGCTTTTACCTTTTTGAACATATTTTCCTGAGACCTAATTTTTTTTTGTTAACGTCATATTCCACAAGTAAATTCTTCCCTCGTTTAAGTGATTCGAACGCTTGTTTTGTCTGCTTTTTTCTCTTCCAGCATTTTTTTGTATGGAGAACCAGTTATAATTTCGCTTTTTTTCAGCTTTACGACGCCGGGCAGTTGCTCTTCTTTTAGAAGCATCAGGAACCGGTGAGAGTTCTGTAAGTGCAGCTTTAAAATTGTCTGTGGATAGGTCAATTGTAGCTTCTTCTTAAGATTCTAATTGCCGCAAAAAAGCAATTTGTGATTCTCCATTAGCAAGAGTAGTTTGGTTGTCGGAATGCACAGAATTTGTAATATGGGCTACGAGATCAGGAGCAGGAGTAGTAGATGTTGGTTCTAGCAGTTGGGAAGATGAAGGCAACGGTTCTGATATTGAAGGTGTTGCTTCTAGCAGTTGGGAAGATGAAGGCAATGATTCTGACGTTGATTGTTGTTCTGTAATGTTGGTTATGTTAGAACAAGTAAAGTCCAAATCATTAAAGACATTTTTATCAAAGGGGTATATGCCTGTGCAACGAAAGTCACTAACTGCGATTTTAATTCGAAAAACTCGATAAAAAGCTGAAGCAACTAAGCCAGCAATCTCGTATTCACTGATTCCAATACTAGGATTTAATCTCATTCACAAGTCACATGCATTATTATAAGCAGATTTAAATGGCTTCATGAACGTACGATCCAGTGACTGTAGCTTATGGGTCGTATGTGGTGGGGTGCTAAGCATATGGATGTTATTTTTCCGGGCAAATTCAATAACATCTAAGTCCTTATGACTCGCATGTCCATCTAAAATCAGTAGAACTGGATTCTCGGCTGTAGGATTAGAATACTGCACAAAATGATGCATCCATTTGAAAAATAATTCGGCATTCATCCAGCCGTTTGGCTGAGCTTCGCCTACGCTCTCATTTGGGGCGTTAACCATTAGTCTTTCATTCATTCGGACTCGTGGAAATATAAAATATGGTAGAACAAATTGACCTCCAGCGCTCATTGCAAAAAGCACCGTCACGTTCTTTCCACGTTCTGCTGAAGTCAGTTTTCCTACTTATTTTTGGTTTTTAGTAGCTAAAACGTTGGTATGTTTTTGGACAATGCTGACACCAGTCTCGTCTCAATTCCATATTTTATAAGGAGTGAATTTAAACCTCTGTATCAAAGTCTCTGGACCATCAAATAAACGCTCAACCTGAGGTCTGTTAAATCCTACTGCTCTCATTAAGCTCGTTGATTCAGCACTCCGCAATGATAAATCACTATGTCTTTTTATAAAAGAATAATAATAGTTTTTCCCTGTCATTTCTTTTTCTTTATTAAACTGGTGAGGTAACTTCAACTTCTCTACCAGTTGAAAAGCAAGACGTAAAAATTCTTGCCTGTTTAAAGGCAGTAGTCTATTGGCCAAGTTTTTAACATGTGTCGCCAATGTTTCTTCATGTTCAGGTGAAAAAGTATGAGAGAAGTGTGAAAACAACCCATAACTGGCTCAATGGATATCTCTTTATTATTTTTAATAGCACTTACTCTGTCATTCAATGTAGTTCGTGGTATCTGATAGCGTTCAGCAGCTTGGCGTGCTCTCATCTCATTATTCAGTACCTTTTCCACGGCTTTTCGCATGTTCGCAGGATCCTAGCTGCCCTTTTTTTTGCCTCACATGAACATTATTTTTATCACTTGGCATTTTTGCGTACCTGTAAGTAAAAGAAATCTTTTAAAAACGAACTTTATTATTGGCCGGTACTGCAGGACAATGCAGTAGCCGGTACTGGAGGAAACGAAAAAAGAATAAGTTTGTTTACAGGTAAAAACAAACGCACAAATATTGATTTAAAGTGTACTTTTTTATAGTTATATAAGTACACTATACATACCAGGAGTTATTTGTTTTAAACTGGATCTTTAAATGTTGAAAATCACCAACAGAATTTTAAATATCCAGTGTACGTCTATGATGCCCAGCACAAATCTTTGCACTGACAAGAATCCTGTCGCGACTGAGTTTATACCGCGCTGGGCTTGTACTTATAGGAGTGTCTGGCACTAATACCGACAATCATCACCGTACCATCTATTATAGGTTTTTTAGAACTTTCAACTGGCCGGTACTGTGGGACTCTCCCCTAATTATATTAATATTTACACTATTTTTCTTTGTTTTTGACCGAGACCTTTTTTAGTATTTCAGCCAGGATTTGTATCTGACATGCACAAAAATATACCCTATTATATAAGAGTGGCGAAACATGGACTACTACTTGCCGAACAAATAGCGAAACAATTCATTAAAAATGATTTTACTGATCTTGCGTCAGAAGAAGCTACACTTTATGAAGATTTATTTAAAACATTGGATACTAAATATTTACTAGAAAAATCAACTTACACAGTTGAGAATGTCAAGTGCCAAGTTGAGGTAAAGTATTACATACTTTTGTTTAATATTTTTTCTTAATTACGAAATATTTCTTAATATAATAATGTCTATATAATTTTCATTCATCTGCATTTATGGCTCTATCTCCTATTATTCCTCTGATTTCTTCTCTTTGTTCTGATCTTTTTCTCTTTCTATTCTATTGAACATAGTTTAAGGCCTGTTTTGGCCATCGTTGGTCTTCCATTCACATTACTTCTCTTACCATAAAAATTGTTTTGATTCTATTGTATCTACGGTATTGTAAATTCTTCCTGATTTCCTTCTTGTTATTTCATTTAATATGTGATCAAGTTTGGATATCCGACACGCTGTTCTGAGATAGCCTATTTCTATCACATTCAGTTTTTTCTTGTCTTTCATCGTCATCTTCCAACATTTAGATCCGTACGTGAAATTCTAGACTCGTTCCTAGTTCTCCGCTTTTCTTGTGCAGCAAAAAAGCATTCCACTTAGCATGTTCGGAAAGGTCGAAAAATATTTTTTTGTAATACCTCTTTTCACACTTTCTGGTTATAGGGTAATCAGCAAAATGTTGGTCGGACGCCCATAGTATTGTTGTAGTCTTAAACAATTCTAGGTTTTTTATCTCCTTTCCTCGCCTTTCTTCAGTAACCATTTCAGCATTTTGCAGCGTTGACAGCACACAAACCTCCCGTTTATTCTTCCACTTCATTACTATTGCCTTCCCTTTGCATAAAAGTTGGCTGTAGTCAAAAAGTGACCTTTCGACAGTAGAGATTTCATTAGGGTCATGTCAATACGCGTTGGCACCGAAAATCTTTGTATTGTTCGTCAAACTTTGTATCCTTTCCCGTATAAATTATGCTATGTCAAATATATCCGGACGAGGATTCACACCGCATGTAGTTCTTTATAAAAAATCGTGATCTTTTGTTTGGAATATATTTATTCTATCCGAGTATGCCTTTGTAGAAAAGTAAGCTCTCGTCAATTGTAACATCCATTTCCAAATCATACAAAGATTTATACTTAGCATTTAGGTATTCATAAACTTGCTAGATTTTATACAGTTTTAGGACTTGGGTCTAGGAGTATTTCTGTCGAAAGAATAATTTAGAGAAATGCAGGTATTTCTTTATTTTGAGAAACCTTTTATTCATATTCATAATCCTATAGAAAAAAGGCGTTTAATTATTGGTTTTTTGGGCTAATAAAGCAAATGCACTGGTTTCTTTAACAAGCTTTGCAGTAATATAATTGCAAAAAAATACTCGCATTTCATCCCTATCCGTTGGTATCCATTTGTTCTCTTTTATAACTCTGCGAAATCCTGATCGCCTTTTCTAATCAGCAAAACTATTTGTTTCTTGAACGATTGAAAGACTCTTACTTACGACCTTATTTTCAATATTCTTTATATGGAAATGACACTCCGTTTTCCCAGTAAGAGGAAATCTCGGTGGGCCGGGCCTGGTCGGTCTAACCCACTGCCGGACTGCTTGAAGTAAGCCAATTGCACTGTTATTATCTTCATTGGAAACTGAGTCATTTAATAACATTTCACTTTCACTTTTATCAAGTATTTTTTCTTTTATTCCAGGATGAATCTGGCAACAATTTAAAATATGAAACAATAGTAGGAGACAACTTAGCCTTTAGGCTCGCAACTGATACGTTCCTAGAAGATACCAGCAAGGACATTTTACCATTCCTTACCGATTATTCTAGAAACAAAACATTTTTGATAAATGCTTTGCAAGGTAAGAATCCTAATAAAAAGTAAAATTAATGTTAACAAGAAAAAAATAATCTAAATAGTACTCTAAAGTAACAAAACATTTTATGTTTAAACTACATTTACACATAAGATTGTATTGTACACTGGGGTGCAAAATTAACTGGACACTTGGATTTTTTTTGTTTTATGTTGGGTTTTAGATCAAAACTTGTTTAATTTGTTTGAATTGTATTTTTAGATGTTTTGTGCGAACAACACCACTTTTATATATTCGTTTTGTTATTAATGTGAAATAGTACATTAGCATTATGTGCCTGATTATAAGTTCGGCATTATTAACAGCAGATCATCAGAGGCAACGTTCGCGAACAGCTTAATTTGGGTGTTGACGATTGTAGTGCTATGCTTTTCACGGACAAATCAAGATTAACACATACTCATCAGATGGACGGCCTAGAATATGGAGAAGAGCAGGTGAACGTTACCAACAATGTTGTCTTACTCCGAGAGTTCAGGAAGAGGTGGTATATTGGTGTGGGCAGGCATTTCCCTGGAGGCTCATATAGAAGTTTTTTACAATTCAAGGAGGCAATTTAAACGCTTAACGGTATATTCAGAAATATTTGAAAGATAATGTAGTGCCATTTACCCCATTTGTTGGAGAAAACTTCCGTCTAATGCAAGATAATGCTCGTCCACACATTGTAAGAATTATACGGGATTATTTTAATTAAGTTGGAGTTTATTACCATGGTCTCCAAGGAGTGCAGACTTAAATCCAATAGAGCATGCATGGGATATTCTGGAACAACGTATTCGACACAATCATGGTGAGTTTGAAACCATGAATGGTTTGGAAGCAAGCAGTGAGTGACGAATAGGAGCAAATCCCTCAAGACTCAGACTTTGCTGCCTTAATCCGAAGTATACCTGATCGAATGTGAGATGTAATTATTGCTTGTGGATCGTGGAGGTAACACACTCTACTCAATATCGTTTTCCATAAAAAATGTTCATATATTTAAAAAATAATAATTTTTGTTTCGTTGCAGATTTTCAAATGTGTTGAATTGTTTATTAGTTTTTCTGTGTAACGTTCTTGAATTGTGATAAGTTTGACTTTTAAATTTTTTGATTAATAAATACTTAAATGGGAACATCCGAAACTTTTTAAACGCTAGTTTTTAAGAAAAATCTGGGTGTCCGGTTAATGTTGCACCGCAGTGTATTATACACTGTGTGCATTTGAAAAGAACCGATCTTCTGTTAGAAATGCGACATATTAGAAAGAAATGCCGAGTCAGGTTGATTTTTAAATTTAGTTGTTTTTATTTTGGATAATACTATGATACCGTCACCATGACGTCTTGATGACGCTATTAATTTTTTTTAATGGACATCTAATTTTTTTGCCAACGGCATATTATAATGGCAATATGTATCAATATGATAGTTTTTGATATACAAGGTGTTTAAACTCAATTAACTAGTCCGACAGTTTTAAGAAACTATATTTAATTTTCAACAAAAAAAAAAGAAACAAAAGTATTGGTTATTTAAATACATAAAAAAACGGTTTAAGGCTATTTTTTCGGTGCACCAAAATCTAGGGACATTGTTTTCTCTATTATTTACCGACAAAAAATCTCGAAATTTAAACACGTTATTCGAAATTGTGTTGCCTTTAAAATGATTGTTTTACTTTTTTTTTTTATTTTTTTGAAACTTATGTTGAAAAATTGGATTATACTGTTTAAAATTCTATTATAACCAAACTTTTTACGCCCATCACTTGAAAGAGTTCTTTTTTCTGTAATCGTTGTTTTTTTTTCACTTTTCTATGTCCAGTAATAATAAAGAAAAGCGTGTTCCAACTTTGAAAAAAATTGCTTAAAAATACAGAAATCTAATAGTGAAATGTGTTACTCATCATTGGCGCTTAGTTTCATCGTTATCGCCTTCGTGACGTCAAATCTCATAAAACGTACGGTCAGTTAGTTCGCTTGAATCAGAATCCATTTTCAGTTAATCATTCTTGTATTTTCTATATCAACTTGCTTAGCGTTTACAGTTTACAGTATTCTTAGTTATTTGAAACAATGAAATTCTAATATATTATTAGTTAGGTGATATAAGTTAAAAGTTATTTGGTTTACGCGTATTTTTAAGTATTATATTAGTTCACTGATATAAGGTGACAAGATAAGAAATGAGTCCCAGTAAACGACCAATTTTTTATAGATAAATAAAAATATTTTTTGTTTAATTTTTATTAGGCTAATATCAGTTTTCTCTAACAAATAAATAACTTCTTGAGATCATTTTTAAGCTACAACTGCGAAATTATTTATTTGTTTGTGACAACAAATTGTAATTTTTTTGATAATAATATTTTTATGATATTTTAAATTTATTATAAATAAACACCATGATGTTTTTTGCAGTCACGTTTCACAAACTTTTATTCAATAATATATTTAGCTACGACATATAAATTAAAAATGTGATAATTATTTTTAAAATATTCAAATTCAAACATTCAATCAATCAAAAAAGGTATTCCCGACAAAACTAATTTGAATAATAGCACGTCTACCAAGCTCTATCAATACTAAAGGAAAAAAAAATTTAAATATGAAATTAAAATACTTTGAATGAAAAATCAAAGTTGAAAACACAGTGTGTCAACTGGAATGTTATACCACTGGTTCAGTAACACTTACAGTCAATGAAAAAACTAGTCGGAGATGTTAAAATATACAACTGTGGAAAATGGAAACACAGTAGAAGATGTTAAAATATACAACTGTAGAAATGGTATATCTAAATTACGGAAAGAGTAAATCAACCCTTCCGTGCACGGGTAATAATTTTATACACGAAGGAACGAGTTGGGTCTGAAAGCCCAAAAAATTAAACAAGATTTTTTTATGTTTAATTTTGTAACAACAGGTTTGCGTTGCATATATTAGAACTACTACTAAAGACAAGTTACATGTACATAAAAAAATGAACTGCTATATATAATATTAAAACTAAAAATACAAAAGAAATTACATACTACAATATGGCAGGTTTTTAAAGAAAAACCTTGTATATAACTTATTCAGTCATTTTATCAAGGCATATGCAACAAACAGGTACGATCTGTTCTAAGCAAATAATTTTTTTACAGTAATGACACATGTAGCGAGTATAATGTTTTTATTAGTCCTAATTTATTGTCTTTATTCTAATTTATTAAAACTCACGATAATTTATCAAAAGTCTTTATTTTATACTAATTTATTTTACCCTTAATAATTACAAATAATTTATTTGCGTTCGATACAATTTTAACCCGATATCCGCGATCTTCTTTTTGACTAACTATTTACATAAAATTTATATATATTTATTAATACTAAACAGTCGTTATTCTCGAAGCGCGGGTAGTGAGCTTCCGGAACAAACTCGATCGCTGTGCGGTCAGACTGGGTTTTTATAGCAGCCTCTTCCGGAAAGTTCGACTCGTCGGAGACCCATTAGGTATTACCTGGAATTTCTACCATCAGGTCAAATCTAGAACATATTTAGTAAATAAACAACATTTTTTACAGGTTTATTTTAATATGACTAATTTTTACGTAACATTGCCCCCTCTTAAAAGATGGTTCCTCCTGGAACCTTGTCGGAACTGCAACTGGAATGACATGCTGATATCGGCAACTGGGCCCTATTTTACAACAACAACAAATTTTTATGCAACTTCCAGTTGCATAAAAATGACAAGGGACGGTTTTCTCTCCGCACCAGTAACTATGCGGATTGCAACAGACTAACACCTGGACTTCGGTTGTCTTTAAAGATCTCTTTCAACCATATTTCGGATAACCCTCCAATCTAACTGGCGGCACTCCAAATTTGGCATGGGTAACTTTTGCATGTCGAACTCTAGTACGTGCTCTCTCAATTGAAGTAAGGCTTCCCATACATCTCGGTAGGTAGGTTGGTAACGGGCAGTGTCTTTTGTTACCAGGTAATAAAAGGTAACGTGATGCATCTTGGAGTTTCAAGGTTTTACCGGGAGCTGGCACTTGGCATTGAAGTTCTGCAACTCGGCCGAACTTCCTTCGAAAGACGGATGCCAACCCTGGTGCGTCTTTGATACTGGCCGGGATGGTAAGGGCCAGTGAGTAGTCATCGGGAAGCGCGAGTAGATCTTGCCTTTCTTCAGTGGTAACACCATGTCTTGCTTTACCGATACCTCCATAGGCACCCATGAATTCCTCAAACGTGAGGTCAGACACATCTTGGACTTGGTTTACTTCGATCCACCTGGCTATCTGACCCACTGGGTTCTTAAACTGAATCAATCACTTAAGGGCGGCATGGTCGGTTCGGATTAAAAAACTTCCTTCCATAGAGGTATTGATAGAAGTGCTCTACTGATTTCACTACTGCCAGAAGTTCTCTTCTCGTGACGCAATAATTCCGCTCAGGTTTTGAGAGAACTTTACTAAAATACCCAAGGACTCTTTCCTGTCCTCCTTGAATCTGAGACAGCACTCCTCCAATTCCCACATTACTTGCATCTGTATCTAAGATGAACTCTTCTTCTGGCAGTGGATACCCTAAAATTGGTGCTGTGATTAAATGCTTTTTTAAGGTCTCAAAGGCATTTTGACAGTCTACATCCCAGCGGTATTCTCTTGCTTCCTCTGAAAGTCGCATTAATGGTTTAGCGATATCTGCAAACTTCTTAATAAACCTCCGGTAGTAAGTACATAGTCCCAGAAAACTTCTTACTTGGTGTTTGTCCAGTTGGTTTTGGCCATTCCTTAATGGAATCTATTTTTCCTTTATCCAAGGCCACTCCTTCTTTACTGACTATATGACCCAGATAATTGACTTTACCTTGAAATAGCTAGCACTTCTTGGAGTTTAACATCAATTGAGCAGCTTTAAGTCGATTAAAAACGTTTTCTAAATTCCTCAAATGATCTTTAAAATGTCTCCCCCAAGACGATTATGTCATCTAGA